AAATTCTGGCAAATCACATACAAAAAACATTAAAAAGATAATGCAACACAATCAAGTGGAGTTCCTCTCAGGGTTGCAAGGTTGGCTCAACATAGGGAAATTAATAAACATAATACATCACATCAATAGACTTAAAGACAAGAATCATGATCATCTTAATAGATGCATTTGACAAAATATAGCACCCCTTCATGTTCAAAACACTAGAAAAACCAGGGATAGTAGGAACATACCTCAATATTGTAAAAGCTCTCTATGCTAAATAGATATGCTCTCAAGGCCACATTATTCTGAAGGGAGAAAAATTGAAAGAATTTCCTCTAAAAACTGGAACAAGACAGGGATGGCCTCTTTCATCACTTCTATTCAACATAGTCCTAAAAACTCTAGCCAGAGCAAAATCAGATAAAAGAAATTAAAAGGATTCAAATCTAAAAAGAAGAACTCAAACTATCACTATATGCTGATGACACGATTTTATATTTAGAAGATCCAAAAAATTCCACCCCCAAACTTCTAGAACTAATAAATCAATTCAGTAAAGTAACAGGATATAAAATCAGTACCCATATATCTCACACATTTCTATATATCAGTGATGAATCTACTGCAAGAGAAATTAGGAAAACTATCCCATCACAATAGCCTCAAACAAACAAAACACATAACAACAACAACAAAAAAAAAACCAAAAAACAAACTTTGGGAAACAATCTAACAAAAGAGGTGAAAGACCTCTACAATGAAAACTACAGAACAGTAAAGAAAGAAATTGAAGATGACCTTAGAAGATGAAAAGATCTCCCATGCTCTATGTCAGGCAGAATTAACATTGTCAAAATGGACATATTACCCAAAGTGTTATACAGATTTAATGTAATTCCTATTAAAATCTCAAGGACATTCTTCATAGAACTAGAAAAATCAATCATGAAATTCATTTGGAAAAATAAGAGACTCAGAATAGCCAAAGCAATCCTTAGCAAGAAGAGTGAAACAGGAGGCATCACAATACCAGAGCTTAAACCATACCACAGAGCAACAGTAACAAAAAGGGCATGGTATTGGCACCAAAACAGACATGTAGACCAATGGTACAAAACAGAAGAGACAGAGACAAACCCACATAAATATGGTTATCTAAAAGATGCCAAAAGATACACGGGAGAAAAGATAGCCCCTTCAACAAGTGGTGCTGGGAAAACTGAAAATCTACATGTAATAAAGTGAAATTAAATCTCTATCAAAATCCTGCATAAAAATAAACTCAAAGTGAATCAAAGACTTAGGCACTAGAACAGAAAACCTGTGACTAATAGAAGAAAATAGGAAAGGCAGCAGAATACGACAGACATGAGTATATCAATATGTAAATCAATGGAAGTGTAACTGATGGGATTCTGCAAGCTGTATAGGGGGAAAATGGGAGTTCATAACCCGCTTGAATCAAAGTGTGAAATATGATATATCAAGAACTATGTAATGTTTTGAACAACCAACAATAAAAAAAAGAAGAAGAAAAAGCAGGCCAAAATCTTCATCATGTCAGCTTAGACCTGACTTCCTCAACAAGATTCCTAAAGTGCAAGAAGTAAAATTAAGAATCAATAAATGGGATGGATTCAAACTAAAAAGCTTCTTCTCAGCAAAGGAAACAATCAATAACATGAGAGAGCCTACAGAATGGGAGAAAATCTTTACCACATGCACTAATCTCCAGGATATATAAAAAACTCAAAAATTTAACGCCAAAAAAAAAAGAAGAAGAAAGAAAAATAAGAAAGAAAAAATAATAATACAATTGATTAACAAACATATAAAAAATGTTCATCATCTAGCAATTAGAGAAATGCAAACCAAAACTACTCTAAGATTTCAATTCACTCCAGTCAGAATGGCAGCTATTGAGAATATAAACAATAGTGTTGGCCAGGATGTGGGGAAAAAGGTACACTCATACACTGCTGCTGGGACTGCAAATTGGTGCAGCCAATCTGAAAAGTAGTATGGAGATTACTTGGAAAACTTGGAATGGAACCACCATTTGACGCAGCTATCCTACTCCTCAGTTTATACCCAAAGGACTTAAAAACAGCATACCACAGGGACACAGCCATATCAATGTTTATAGCAGCAAAATTCACAATAGCTAAACTATGGAACCAACCTAGATGCCTTTCAGCAGTGGAATGGATAAAGAAAATGTGGTACATATACACAATCGTATATCACTCAGCCTTAAAGAAGAATGAAATTATGGCATTTGCAGGTAAATGGGTAGAACTGGAGAATATCATGTAAGTGAAATAAGCTAATCCCCCCAAAACCAAAGGCTGAATGCTTTCTGATATGCATATGCTGATCCATATTTGGGGGTGGAGGCGGGGGTAGGGAAGAATGAAGAAACTTTGGATATTGCAGAGTGAGTGAAGGGTGGGGAGCGACTGTGGGGGTGGGAAGGACAGTAGAATGAGACAGACATTATTACCCTATAGAATGTATGATTATACTACTGCTGTGACTCCCCACCATGTATAGCCAGAGGAATGAGAAGTTGTGCTCCATTTGTGTACAATGTGTCAAAATGTATTCAACTGTCATGTATAACTAATTAGAACAAATTAAAAGAGTTAAAAAAATATATATAATCCTTACCTATTGGGAGGGTCCAACCCATAATGCAGGACCATAAACACAAATTAATTCCAAATGTATCGTAGACCTAAATGTAAGGGCACAGACTATAAAACTCTCAGAAGAAAACACAGAATTTTTTGTTACCTTGGATTAGGCAATAGTTTTTTAGATTTAATACCAAAAGCATAAGCAGCAATAACAATAATAAAAAAAAAGATGTTGGATGTTGTGAACATTATAAACCTTTGTGTTTCAAAGGATGCTATCAAAAGGTGAAAAAATAGGGCTGGGGATGTGGCTCAAGTGGTAGCGCGCTCGCCTGGCATGTGCGCGGCCTGGGTTTGATCCTCAGCACCACATACAAACAAAGATGTTGTGTCCGCCAAAAACTAAAAAAATAAATATTAAAATTCTCTCTCAAAAAAAAAAAGTGAAAAAATACATCGTAGAAAAAATATTTACAAATTCTATTTGATAAGAAACATGTATCCAGTATATATAAAGGACTCAACTCAGTAATAAAAATAACCAAATAAAAAGAAAAACCAGGCAAAGGACTTGAAAGACTTTCCTTTAAAGAAAATATACAAATAGCCAATAAACACAAGAAAAGATGCCTAACATCACTAATAAAAACCACTATGGGAAATACAAATCAAAACCACTAGACACACTATAAACCCATAGGATGGCTATAAATTTTATAGCAGACATGAAGAAACTGGAACACTCATACCTTGCTAGCAGGAATGTAAAATGGTGCAGCCATTTTGGAAAATAGTTTTTCAAAGGTTTAAACGTTAAGTTACCATATGGCCCAGCATTTCTACTCTTAATTATACATCCAACAGAACTGAAAACATATGTCTACACAAAAAACTTGTACAAATGTTTACAAATGTTTATAATAGCACTATTCATATTAGTCAAAAAGTGGAAACAACCCATATGTGCATCAACTAATAGAGTATGGTATATTCCTAAAATATGTTATTATTAGGCCCAAAATGATGCACTTATATATTTTACAATAGGAATAAACCTTGAAAACATGCTAAATAAAAGAATCAGTCACCAAAGAAAACAAACTATATGATTCTACTTAAATGAAATGCCCAGAATAGGCAAATTTGTAGAAATATAATATAATAGATCAGTGATTGTCAGGAATTGAGAAGAATGGGGGCTTGGCAGTAAACTGGTATGGATTTTTTTTTTGTTGGGGGGGTATCACAAAACTGTTCCCATATTATAATTATGATTGAATAATTCAATAAATATAATTAAAAATCATTAAGTTGTACACTTTCAATAGATCATATTTATGGGATGTGAGCTTTATCAATAGAGCTCTTTTTAAAWTTTTAATAACTGATATGTTTTATTTTATTTAGTTCTGGACATATTGTATCTTAAACTTTATTTTTTAAAATTTGTTCTAATTAGTTATACATGATAGTATAATGCATTTTGACATACTGTACACAAACGGGAGTTAATAAAACTCTTTTTAAAGGAAAGGGTAAGATAGATTCTCTTAGCTTCCCTTTAGTCAAGTTCCAATTTCTATATATTATATGGTAAAGAACAATAAGCACTAGCTATGTAATTCATGGGCCCTTATAATATTTTACCCTTTGCAGTAAGTCAGAATGGGAACAGGAAGACTGGCAAAGAACATAAACGTTCAGTATTTAATTAAAATTAGAAGTAGAAAGATGAGGCTGAGAAGAAATTGAACCAAATGACCTTGGATAATATCAGGACCATCAAGAACTGTTTTACAGAAGAAATATGAAAACAGATTGTTTAGTTTGGTAGTTAGGGAGTGTACTCTACATCTCTAGCCAGTAGCCATATTTCATGTGCAGAGGCTCCTGCAAATCCAGTGTAATATATAACACTTACATCATAGCAGAAGTTCTATTAGGTATCGCTGGTGTTCAGTGTTTGAAACGGCAACCTCTGAAAGCCACAGATTTTTTAATTGCTATATTTACTCAGGTTTTCAAGACTTATAAAACGATGTAGTTAAATGGTCTTTTTAGGTATGGTGGTCCTATGTCTTGGCTTTTTTTAGAAYAATAACAATATATCTTACTTTTTATATCACTTTCAATAATATGAGCCATTAAAGTAAAACTTAAGGTAACAACTTCAATTTTTAGATTTTTTTATATAAATAAATAAGCAGATAAAATCCTTCATCATATCATTTGTCCCAAATTTTGATACAAGAAAAATATACATAACAATAATCCATATAGCCTAGAAAGTGCTAGAGGCAGAGTCCCCCTTTCTTGAACCCTTTGTCTGGTTGACTCTCCCCACCCATGCTCGAACTTTGCCATGCAATTACTCACCGGGGCCCAGGTAGATCAGCATGCCCTGAGCTAGTATCCTGCTGGCTTCCGGTGCCATCTCTGCCAGGTAGTGAGTAAACTCGCTGCACCACTACTTGGACCCCCACTCCTGACCATGGGGCAGCTCCTTGGCTTTCTACCACGTCCAGAAGAGAATCCCTAAGGGGGGATTCAGCTATGAAGTGCTGCTTTGCCTTTTCGTGCCTGTTGGTGCATTCTGTGCCTGTGGTGGCCAGGTCACTATACACAACCTGGCCAAGACATACAAAGAAAGCTATTTAAGTTTATAACATAATTCTTCCCACCAAATGGCACTGTTAAGCAATCTCCCAATAGATCTGCAGTACAGTGAAGGAATGATAAAGATAAAAGAAAGAAACATGTGGTATGTGCCTCCATATCCTGATGAGGAGGGGAAGGTGGGCAAGAGCAGTGTGGGCGGTTGAGTGTTCCATACCAATGTGATCATAGCACGAATAGTTCTGCTATTGAACACCTCAGGGTAATTTAAAAAAATTGTCCTTTCAGAAGTAGCAAATTCAACTTGAAAAACTAAAATACAAAATAAAAGAATGACTGAGGTTTGATGAAAATGAACCATTTTATTAAGTGCTTATTAAGGTGAAGCATTTTGCATGCTCATGTGTCCTCCAAACAACTCTATATAATCTGTCCTTTTCATATTAATATCCTTATCCTCACAATGATCCAGTGTGGGAGACAACAGCATTTATGACCATTTTATAAGGAAAATTGAGACTACCCAAGGTCACCTAGCACAAAGTGGTTGGGGGAAGATTTGAACCAGGACATGTGATTCCAGAATCCATGTTCTTTACCAATATGCTACATGGCAGCCTCATTGACACTGTTATAAGAATATCATGCTAAGAGAAATAAGATGGACCCAGAAAGTTAAAGATTGAATGTTTTCTCTGATCTATGGAAGAAGGGAAAAAAAAGAAAASAAAAGGTGGGGAGAATTCCATAAAAATAGAAGAAAGATCAATGGGGTAAAGGAAGAGAATTAAGGGAGAGGAAGGAGGGACAGGATAAGGGAAGAATAGTGGAATAAATCTGATCTAACTTTCCTATATACACATATGAATATACCACAGTGAATCTCATCTTTATGTATATCCACAAGGCACTAATTAAAAAAGCATATAAGTAACTAGCAGAAAGATCAGATGAATACAGGGAAGGAAACGGGGAAGGGAGGAGGGAAGGGACAGGGGAATTACTAGGGACTGAATTAAAGCAAATTACATTCCATGCTTTTATAATTATGTCAAAATGAATCCTAATGTTAAATATAACTAAAAAGAACTAATAAAAAAATGGAAGTACAAAAAATGTATTTTTTTTTGGTATCTTTATTTTTATGTGGTGCTGAGGATCGAACCCAGTGCCTCATGCATTCGAAGCAAGCACTCAACCACTAAGCCACAATCGCAGCCACCCAAAATGTACTTCGAACCATGTTTTTAATATGAGTACATCTACTTAATGTTTATTTTTAATATATTATTTACACATTATATATTTATAATATATATTTATAAAGTAAATACATGTATATTTGTTTTATATTTATATATGTGTATGATCATTCTTCTTCTTATTATTTTTCATTATTATTTTTTTTTTATGTAGCACTGAGGATAGAACCCAGGGTCTTATGCATGCTAGCTAGCTAAGTGCCCTACCACTGAGCTACACCCCAACCCCATTTAAGCCATATTTAAAATGTTATAATTAAATTGATAAAAGTGCTCTCCTTTTCACATAAACCACTTCAGATACTTGTTTTAACAGTCAATGGGAGATTTTTTGCTTGATTATATGATAAAAAACATGACGAGAATTTGTCTACTTTTCTTTCTTATTTACCCTATCAGTCTCAGCATTCTGTTCTGTGCTGATTCCCGTAACCCACTGAGTTTAAAGCCAGAGCACTGGCAGCAACACTGACTCTCAGAGCTGAGCATGTCCCTGGGGCACACATCATGCTCACATTCAGTGAATTTCAGTGGTTCTCTAAATTCATCTTGGCAGATGACTAGGGCTCAGGGCCAAAAAAATTCCAAAAATCAACCTTTAGCATGTAATCTCAGGCTTATACAGCTCTTTCTATCTCAAGGGACTCAAGGGATATGGCTCTTATGAAAAAAAATTTTTTTAAATAAATAAATAAGGGCCTAAACAACATTTTAAGTTACAAGATATGAACAGAGAAAATACTTTCATACATTTTAATACATTAGAATAAAGATTAAAAAATACATAACTAGAAAGATAAAAAACTGTAAGAAAACCACAACTAAATGCTGACCTGAATGATACTATCTTTAAGCACAACTATAAGATAACTTTATCTATGTGGGGGGGGGAGGGGTTAAAAAGTGAACATCCTAGGTTCATTTAAATCTAGCGACCAATGTGATTACAAGCACAAAACTTCTGGGCCAATGAGAGTTTACCTGACTTTCAGGTGAATTATTGGATAGATCCTTAATTTTAAACATCTGGGCCAAAGTGATGTTTCTTCTTGGAAGGAGTATGTCATGACAGTATAGTTTGTGAGTTGTTTCTGCATCTTCTTTGGCAACAACTTTCTGACAGAAATAAGTATTCAGAATAACAGGGCAACTTCCATTTGGGATAATAAGTTTTTGCCTAGAGAAGAAAAAGAAATTTCACAGTTTATTTGCAATGTTGAATTCTTATATTTTGCTAAATCAGAAATGCAAAGAGCAATGAAACACCAGTTATTGATAACTAAAACTAGGCCGGTCCATGAAATGACAGCTGTCCCTAATGATGGACAGCTACAACCAGGCCAGAGATGAAGTGATCATCATCTCTAAAAACAGAGAGCTAGGACTAGACCAGCCAGCAGAGTGAGTGTTGTCTCTATTGCTTGAGGGAAACTGTCACTGGATCTGGCTTTACATTCACAGTGAATGCCCAGTGTCAAGAATGGATAAAGACCATTTAAGTCTCAGGCTTGAGCTTCCTCAGGACAGGCCTCAAGATTCTTAGGGAAAAACAGAATGAGCAAAGACTATATAAAAATAAGCTCAAAAAACTGCCCAGTGAATTGTTATTTACAGATAAAGCCTTCAGACATTTCAAAAGCTCCCATCTCAAAGAACGTGACATTAAATGCTGAAGGAACTTCTACTACTTCTACTTTTTCTATCAAACTGACCATAGTCACTGAAATTGCTTACACTGAAGTAGAAAAGGAGTGTGGGAATACTCCAGAGAAAATTCTTCTGTTTCCTCTCTGTCCTCTGAAGCAATGAAACATTTCAATGTAATGCCCATTCCTCAAAGGGGGAAGAGCTGTTAATAAGAAAACTTTAGGACTCTGGATTCCGAAAGGAAGGAGTAGACATACTTTTTCCTGCTCTGCCTGACATTGTATATAAAGTAAACATAAGAAGATACTGAAAGCCTAGACCCTAGAGACCTCAGGACCTGAGAAACTACACAGCAGGAAGTCCCTGAAATTTCTTTGTGTGTATCTCTTATATCCCAGACTTGATATTGAAGAAGCTTGCAACCTGGAAACAGCAATGGAGGGGAAAAGAGCGCCAACAAAAGACTGCTTTCTCTAATTAAGAGTTAAAGGAAAGGCCTAGCTTAGCAAGACAGAAAACTCTTTTATGACAATTTTTCCACTCTAGTCAAACACCAAAGAAAAACGATGACCTGTCCCTGCATGGTGGATGTCCTCCCAAGGATGATATGTTAAGGCTGGCCTCACCATGGTGTGACTGTGAAATGATGGGACTTTAAGAGGTAGAGACAAGCAGGAGGTGTTTGGGTACCTGGAGTGTCCTCTTGAAGGGGACTGTGAAACCCTGGTTCCACCTTGCTCTTTTCACTCTGCAGCTCCTAATGTAAGTGGTTTGTACTGCCTAAGCTACAAGTCCAAAAGAATGGAGCCAATTTACCATTGACCAGAACCTCCAAATCTGTGAGCCAAAAGAAACCCTTTCTCTTTATAAATTCATTATTTCACATATTTTGTTAAAGACATGAAAAATTGACAAATACATCTTTAAAAATTGACAAACACTGCTTAAAATTTTTTTTTAGCTGTAAACAGACACAATATTTTTATTTTATTTATCGTGGTGCTGAGGATCAAACTCAGTACCTCACACATACTAGGCGAGAGCTCTACAACTGAGCCACAACCCCAGCCCCGTATCTTATAACTCTTAAGGAAAATAAATTTGTAATTTTAAAACTCCCAAAAGAGTTATCTCCAGGTTCAGATACTTTCACTGGAGAATTACACCATATGTGAAAAGAAGAATTAACACCAATGCACATTCTCTTCTAGAAAGTAGAAGAGGAGGAAAACACTTCCAAATTCATTTTATAATGCCAGTATTACTCTGATAATAAGACTTTGGACAGTACAATAAAAAGCCCAAATAAACAAGCACGCAGAACATAGCCCAAGAATATAGATAAACAAATATTTAACAAAATATTAGCAAATAGAATTCAGTAATATGTAAAAACAATATATTATATGTGAGGCATTATAAAATATGACCAAATAGAAATACCACTTCAGATCCAGGAATTCAAGAGTTATTTGATATTTGAAAAGTCACTTTTGTAGGTCTAAGGCTAAAAAAGAAAAACCATATAATTATTTCAACTGAAAAAGAAAAACCTTTTGACAAAGTTCAATACCCATTTAGATTAAAAAGCTCAGAAGACTAGAAATATAAAAATATACTTTTTCAACTTAATAAAGAATACTTACAAAAATTCCACAGCTAACAATGAAAGAAATTCTTTCCACCTAAAATGGTAAAAAGGCAAGATTTTCTCTCTCCACTTTTACTCAGTAGAGTAATTTTACTTAGTATAGTTCTAGCAAGTACAAAAAGGAAAGAAAAAACATACAAATCAGAAAAGAGGAAATAAAATGACATAATTGCTTATGTAAAAAATACCAAGGAAAGGGCTGGGGTTGTGGCTCAGAGGTAGAGCGCTGGCCTACCATGAGTGAGGCACTGGGTTTGATCCTCAGCATCACATAAATATAAAATAAAGATATTGTGTGCACCTATAACTTAAAAAATAAATATTAAAAAACAAAACAAAACAAGGAAGCTGAATGTGCCTGTAATTCCTGTGGCTGGGGAGGTTAAGACAAGTAGGATTACAAGTTCAAAGCCAGCCTCAGCAATTAAGTGAGGCCCTAAACAATGTAACAAGACCCTGTCTCTAAATTAAAAAAAATAAAAAGGGTTGGGGATGTAACTCAGTGGTCAAGCACCCCTGGGTTTAATCGCCGGTACTAAAAAACAAAAACGATAATAAAAAATACCCAAGGAATCTGCAAATAACTCCTAGAACTAATAAGTGAGCTCAGCAAGTTTTCAGGACACAAAACATAAATAAGCCAGGTGTACTTCTATATATGATCCATGAACACACGGACACCAAAATTTAAAATATAATACCATTTAAAATAAGAATAATAAAACATCCAGGTTTAGGGCTGCATGTGTATAACCCCAGTGACTCTGGAAGCTGAGGTAGAAGGATCTCAAGTTACAGGTAAACTTGGGTAACTTAGTAGGATCTTGTCTCAAAATAAAATACAATAAGGTACTGGGGATGCAGCTCAGAGGTAGGGTACTCTGGGGTTCAACCTTCAGAACCAAAACCAAAACAAACAAACAAAACAATAACAAATAGTTCAGTGTAAGTGAACAAGTGTTGCAATCTGAAACTATAAAACACACATAAAGTAAGTGAAGGAGGAGCTTCATGAATGAAAAGACATGCCATATTACAGATTAAAAGAATCATTATCATAAAGACACCAATTCTCCCCAAACATATATACAGACTTAGAGCAACCCCAGCCAAAAAAAATTTTTTTTTTGCAGATATACATAAGCTTATTCCGAATATGTGAAAAGGTAAAGAAACTGGAATAGTTAAAACACAATGGAGATGACCAATTTACCCATTTCACCCATTTCAAAACTTACTATGTAGCAATAATAATAATAATAATAATAATAAATATATGTAGTACTTGTGAAAGGATAGATACATAGATCAATGAAATAAAATAAAGAACCCAAAATGAAACTCCAAATATGTTCAGCTGATTTTTGACAAAGGTGCCAAAATAATACCTGTATTTCCAGTTACTCAGGAGGCTGAGGCATGAGAATTGCAAGTTAGAGGCCAGCTTAGGAAATTTAGAGAACCTGCTGAAAATAAATAAATAAAAGGGCTAGGGATGCAGTTTAGTGGTAAAGTACCACACTGATGGTAAGGGAGGGAAAGAACTCTGAAAAGCACAGAGCAAAATATATGAACAATCCAATTAGGACACAAGCAATAGGCATGAATAGACATTTCATTAAAGAGATTTACAAATAGCAAATTAGGGCATTCAAAGATGTTCAGTATCAATGGCCTTTAGAAAAATTCACATTTGGGCTGGGAATAAAGCCAATCCAAATGTGTATTTTCTTTCTTTCTTTCTTCTCCCCCCTAGTTTGTTTATTTATTTTTGTTTGTTCTAATTAGTTATACATGACAATAAAATGCATTTTTGACACTTCATACATATATGGAGTATAAGTTCTCATTCTTCTAGTTGTACATGATGTAGAATCACACTGATCTTGTAATCATATATATATACCTAGGGTAATAATGTCTGATTCATTCTACTATCCTTCCTACCCCCATACCCGCTCCTCTCCCTTTACTCCTCTGCCTAATCCAAAGTACCTCTATTTTCCCCCATCCCCGCCCTCCCCCATTGTGAAATAGCATCCACATATCAGAGAAAACATTCAGCCTTTGGTTTTTGAGACTGGCTTATTTCGCTTAGCATGATATTATCCAGCTCCGTCCATTTATCTGGACAGCCATAATTTCATTCTCATGTATACCACAAGTTACAGGTAAGCTTGGGCAACTTAGTGAGATCTTTCTCAAAATAAAATATAATATATATCACATTTTCTTTATCCATTCACCTATTTAAGGACATCTAGGTTAGTTCCATAGTTTAGCTCTTGTGAATTGAGCTGCTATAAACATTGATGTGGCTGAGTCATTGTAGTATGCTGATTTTAAGTTCTTTAGGTATACCAAGGAGATTTTCTATTTTTTTGGAGTATAAATTTTCAAAATAGTTTCTAATTATATTTTCTATTTCAGTAGGGTCCATTGTGATGTGTATTTTCTTAAAGTTTGTGCTTAACATGCACAAGGTCTAATCCCTGCACTCCTTTTAACCAAGGGGGGATAGGAGGAGGGAGAGGGAGGGGTGAGGGAGAGAAAGGGAGGGAGAAGGATGCAGGAAGGTGGAATGTGGGGGAGGAGAGAGAATGAACATTAAAATCACAAAGGGGAGGGCTGGAATTGTGGCTCAGTGGTGAAGTGCTTGCCTAGCATGTGTGAGGCCCTGAATACACCTCAGTACCACATATAAACAAACAAACAAATAAATAAGTAAAAATAAAAGATCCATTGACAACTAAAAATATATATTTTTTAAGAAATCACAATGAAGCTGGGCAGATTCATACACGTGTGATCTCAGTATTTTAAAAGACCATCAGCAACTTATGTCCTGTCTCAAAAAAAAAAATATGAACTGGGGAACA